CTTTCAAAAAAAATAGTTTTTTCTACTTAAAAATAATTTATTAAAAACTTTAAATCTAAATCATTCAAATCAGATATAAATGGTTCAAATTTGATGAGTTTAGAGTGCTCATCAAAATGATAAGTATTGAAACTAATTCTATTAACATCTTATATTTTCGACCAAATTTTTTAAAAGAAGAGTTCTTATATTATGGATAAGAGGGAGCATATATGTTCAATTATGATGTCCAGCAGCATTTATTGCCTACTCAATTCTTCACTCTAATTACCATATTTTATTCTCTTAAAAAATAAGATTTAATTGCAAGTTTAAGACGTGAGATTTATTTATTTATTTATTTTGCTACATAGAATATTTCTTATTAAAGATAATTCTATTTGATACATTATCGGATACTAAATATTAGTATTTTTAATAAAAATATAAATATTAATTCATTATGTTATAAGGCATCTGGGTGAAATTTGGACAAAGTTAACAAATCTTTCATTCGGGCCCAGAACATGTTTGAACCTTTTTGTTAAGCCTTTTTTTTTTTTGGGACAAAAATTAATGTCCCGACTTGTGGGGGCCTTCTTCCCCCAAAAAAAGGTGTTTCCTTAAAATGGGTAAATTAGCGGCCATGATGCTCGCCAACGCAATGATAACTCATGCTTAAGGGACGGGTTAGATAGAGATTAGAGAGATGTACTCTGTGCAAGGTGCATCTCCCTGCCGTTGTGCATATACGATAAGGACACGCCTGAAATTCACACTATACTCCCTCTTCCTTTTTTTGAAAATGAATAATTAATTTGAGAATATTAAAAAAATAATCAAGATAATCATTTATAACAAATATATATTTATTTTCTTAATATACGCTTTTTAATCATATACTACTTCCGGTCTTAATTATAAGAGCTAGTTGACTAATTTGAGGAGATTAAGGAATGAAATTAGGTTTTTTATTTATAACAAATAGGTGTTGTCTTTTCTAAAATATCCTTACTAATCAAGTGTATTGCCTAGCACTACTATTGTTAGAAGAATTACTTCAGGACAAAAGGTATAAATATGAGAGACAAAATAGATTGGAGTCTTTATTTGAGACCAAAATAAAAGTTAAACAGGATCTAATATTAAGGACCGGAGGTAGTATATTGTAATTACCTTTGAAAACTCCTTTATTATATATAATCAATAAGGATGTTTTTAAAAAATTAATTTAAGAGAAAAAGTAAATTGATACTGCTCTGATCCTTAATATAGAATCTAATTATTGAGTTGATTTTGATCCTAAATATAAGACCTATTTCTTATATTTATTAATTTTTTTCTAAATTACTCTTCTGGATCTCCCTCCACTATAATTAAGTAGAAGAGGGAGAGAGTGTAACATCCTAATTTTCATATCTCTAATATTTAAACATATTTTTATAGAATAGGTAGAGGTTAAATATATATATGCAATTAAAATAATTCTGATTTTTATGCATGTGTGTGTATGAGAAAATGAGTAATATAGTAATATTAAGAAGTCCCACATTGACTAAATAATAGGAAGATGGATAAAATAGCAATGGTATAGAAGTCCCCGTATCGACTAGTCACTAGAGTGAAGGAGCTTGAGGAGCCTATATATAAGAAGTAGTGGGTGATGCTTAGAGGGAGTAAATAATTTTCGCACATATCTAAGGTAGCTTCAGAAAAGTGCTGGTTTTAAGTGCATTAACCGTTGGATCGGATTAATATTTGGTCAGCCTATTTGGGACATCCAAATCGTCAATTTGAACGGTTGGATCGTCATGTCAATCTCCATGTTACAAGTTATTAGGTACGTTTTCAACTTGTGTTTTTAGATTTAGCAGATATAATCCTAAATAGTAAATTATTATTTTTAGCTTCGTCCACCGTTAGATTGAGTCATAATTTGGAGGATAGTATCATGATAGATAGGAAATTAAATTTAACTATCAGACTAAGGGTTTTACTTCTATAGTGAGAATAACCTAACTTGTATTAAATCTATTTATCTAAGTCCTTCGAAGATAAAACAAAAATTATAAATTGGGGTTTTTCTATCTACGTTCTGAATTTAATAATTCTAATAATATAATCTAATAATCAAAGGATATATTTAAGCAAGAAAAATTTAGGAATCGAGTCTAAATCATATATATATGTTCTTGTTCCAAACCTTAAAAAAAGGTCTTTTAGGCTAGAATTCTGAGTAAAAAATTAAAGCTTTTAGAGGAAGAGTTAGATGTTAGGATTTTATAAGTAGCCTACTCTAATACTATAGAGATAACACTTTAATTTTGTTTGTAGATATAAACCCTATTGTGGCGTTTTTGAAGCTGGACTTTGGTTGTATTTGATTGTTAGCTAGGAGACAAGATAACTAAATTTTATCTGTTACATGCATTGGTATGAGGTTGGTGAGTGATTTTATAGTCAAGTTTCATATACATATATTATGTTTTGTATGAACTGTCTTGTGGGGTACTATTTTGAAAAGGGTTGAAATCATTTGCATTGATAGAAATTAATGATTATGATATAAGGTGTTATTCTGGAATTCTGTTGATTATACATATAAATGTATTATTTTGAGCTCTTTGCATCTAGTTTGAGTGGGGGAAGGAGATGATTGGAGTTATTAAGATTTATATACTTACCACGTGGTATCAGCCTCCATACGGAACTCTATAATTGACCACTGTTATTGTCCCACTAGCTCTTTGAGAGACTGCGACACCCCACTAGTTCTTTGAGGGGGGACCTATGGTTCACAGAATGCTCTATGGTCTTTGACCGGTCTATATCACTCGTGTGATGAGCTTGTCAGAGTAACCAGTCAAATGGAAAGAACTTAGCCCATAGGTCCAGTTGGCGAAAATAAGGAGAATATAAGGATAGATTTGGGGTTCATGGACTGCATATAACATGGAATTTTCATTGATGTTTATATCTTTTGAATAAATGAAAAGTATATTATCTCTTTTGAAATTATCAGTTGCATGAGATTGGCAGATATATTTGATCTATAGGTTATTGTGAGTTCAACTGTTAGATAAGTATCTATTGACTATTATTAACTCTGTGTATCCCACCTGATACCTCGCTAGCCCATGCTAGTGTGTGTGATAGATAGGGATTTAGTTATTGAGACGTTGTCTTATCTCTATTGTTTAACATTTTTCAGGTGAAAGCTTTAAAGGAGGGACGTCAAGGAAGGCTCAGGAGAAGTAAAGCTACATTAGCAACTTGTAGTGTCTCATCAATTTATGAGCTATATTGTATCCTGTATATTGTCACCTTATGAAAAATTGTTTTTAATTGATTCATGCATTATTATTTCTTATGTCCTTTGAGTGTACTATTGTGGTATGTGTGCTGATAGGTGGCCAAAGGCCTAGGATCGCATGTGATTTGTTTATGAATTTATTATAAAATATAAATTAAGATTTAATTTTTAATATTTTGATTTATAAGCTATATTATATGTTGTTTTATAATCATATTAGATAAGATTGATTCTTTCTTATATAGTTTGTATTTGAATGAGTTAAGAAAAGTTCTTTTATCCGTGATAGGATGTATGACTGGGTGCTGCTCTTTTCTATCACGGATAACAATATTATATAATTAGTTAGTGTAGATGATTGTGATATAATTTGAGTTTTTATTTAGCATGGTTTGGTTATAAAAAGTTATTTCTTAAAATTACTATGAAAAAGTTAAATTTATCCGTTTATTTAAGAAGGTTGTTTTAGAGAGGATATTAAGGAAGATTATTATGGTGTTTTAGGAAAAACATGTTATATTTCTCATAATTAACTAACTTTTCTAATTTTCTTAATCTAATCAAATTAGTTAAATATGTCTTATATTAAGGATCAGAGGAGTACATTATATTTAGGGTAAAAAGTGTTGTGTAGTTCTTATATTTAATTTCAGAAGTGATATATCATAGGACTTATCATTATTTCTTTGGGGAAAAAAAATCTAAGAACAAGATATGCTTTATAATATATGTCCTTGTGACTTTGTCTAAAGAATAAAAATACGGAAAATTATAATGAGGTCCTAAGTAAAAAAAACAATTGAAAAACAAGTCTCAAAAGTTGTTATTCTCACTATAGGACTTGTCATTATAGACTGTTGATATTGTTATTAAGACATTTTGATAATTATTTCTCTTCTGTGAGACTTGATTGTAATTCCCCCATAAAAATATCCCGTTACATTATGTTATTTCATTCTTTAGAAATTACCCCGAGTTGAAGAAGATTGTGGAGGAATCCTGTACTTATCCCTGTACAAATTTGTCAAATTTTTTTCTATAAATATACTATTGGAAATATAACGTTAAATTACCAATACACACCCTCCACTTCTTTACCCATGGTCCCTAGGACAAGACAATATCTGACAGAAAATTATAAATGAGTCCCAAATAAAAAGAAATTTTCAAGTTAATTCTTTATATATACAAGTTAAATTTTTGTAATTCTCCTTTTGCCTGAAGCAATAATTAGTTTTGGTTAAATATTCTGTGTGTTTTATGCTTCTTGCTTAAACTTGTTTTTTTGGCCAAAATGCTGCTTACTGAGGATAGTCTTGAAATTTTAAAGAACAAAGGGAGTACTAATTTCAACGTCTCTTTTTTGTACCAGTGCCAGATGTGGAGGCTGTAATGTTCAGTCCACTTACTACTGTACTGAGAACCAACAAATTAAAAGCGAAACATGGATTACATCCTTAAAACACCCCCGGCTTTCATAATATGACCTTCTCCATCATTTGCCACCCAATATGAGATCAAACATCCAATGTTCTTAATCACCAAAACATTTGTAATGCAGCAGAATTGGTTAAAATACTACAAATATTCAGAATATGCATGACAAAATAAGTTCCAAGGCTCAAGTTCTCTATTTAAACTCTCAGAACTTTGATGTTCTTCAGCTTGTTTTAATAAGTCCCATTTGTTTGTAATGCTATATCACGGCTGGAGGGCTAACTTACTTTATTGAATTATTCCTCACAATGTCAGCACACACTACATGAAATGAGCCAGGGACTCTTCAAACTGAAACAACTCTGTTCTCTGATCTGAATCATTTGGCTTGATAAAAATAGACATAGACATGATTGAGACCAGAAAATTCACAGTAAATCTACATTCATCCACCATCAACCTAAAACTGATCATATCTGATCAAAAAAAAAAAAAACCTAAAACTGATCATATGAAGTTCCAATTCCCCTTGACTTACAAAATGAGACAGAAAAAGAGAAACAAAATCTAAACAGAAAAACCTGAACTAGGGAACTCACATATCTTAGTTCGGAGAGATATTAACTTATTGGCCTCCCGAGTCTAGTTCCATTACTCTACAAAGTTAAGAAGTATACCCAATAAGTGTCTATGGTTCTGAAGGTGATGGCATTCTCTTAGCCTTCTTCTTCTTCTCTGAAACTGCCTTAGCAAATGCCTCAACAATCCGTTGTTGAGACTCCAAAATCATCTCAGTTCGTTTCATTTCCATGTCCATCCTCATGGTTTCAATCTCTCTCGCCATCTCCATCTTCATGTGCTCCATCCTCACAAACCCATCTCCTAAGACCTTAATTGCAGTCACCATCTCTCCCACTGGATCCCTCTCTCTCTCCCTCTTCCCCAGTCCGCTTCTCTCTTTCAAAATCCTTGTGCCGTAATTGGGGCTGCAATTAGAGCTAGGTGCGGCAGAGTTCGAATTCGAGTTAAATTTCTGATCACCAAGCTTCCCGTAAAACTTGGTGCCAGGTTGTGCTATACTCACCCCGGTCGGAATCCGAATGCGAAATCCGCCTCCACCGACGCCGCCATCAGAACCACCGCCAATTCCGTTCCTATACAATTTATTCAAGCTCCTGGTGTTAGACCCACCAGCATTCTTAAATTCCTCGTACAAATCTTGATCCTCCTCGTCGTCGTCATGGTCAATCTCATCAGGGCTATCAGAATTGTTCTCAGCTTTAACAGGGGAAGGACCTTTCTCCATAGAATCCATGCGCTTGAAATGGACCCACGAAGAATTGAATCGGGCAACCGGCAAAGACCGGGCACGCTGGATCTCGGTGCGGTACCGCTTACGGAGCTTCTCCATCTTGTGGCGGCACTGGACGGCGGTCTTAGGCGGGGACGCATTCGGACAACGAGTCGTTACCACATCGGCAACCTCCTGCCAATGAGTCGCCTTCAAATTTCCCCGACCAAGGGAATACCATTTGTCACGATACGCGTCGATCAGAGCCACAGTCTCATCGGGGGACCAGCACGGCGGCGGAAGACGGCGAGACGACGGTGGCGCCGAGAGGGGAAGAGGCACTGCAGAGGGTGGATCAGGAGGAGGGGCAGAATCCACCGGCGAAGAAGGCGAAGCCATGGGAACGAAACGAAAAAACAATTAAGCGAAACAACGTCAGAGAGTGGGGGTCAGATCAGACACGGCGGGCGAAGGATAAGAACGGCGGCGCAGAATAGCAAGACGGAAGAAGAGGCAGAAAGGAGGAGAAGGGTGGTGGAGGAGAGAGACATGGGGAAGAGAGAGGCGATAAAGGAGGGAGGTAGGGGGTGGGGTGGGTGGTGGGTGAGAGGGAGGGGTGTGCGGCTGAAAAAGAGATCTAGAAGGATGAGGAGGCCACCACCGCTTAGGTGGGAGGAGAGAGAGAGGTTGGCTAACGTGCGCCGCGGGGATAAGGTGGCGCACGCTTGCCACGCCATGAAGAGAGGAGAGGAGGTCCACCTCTGACTTTGGCCATTACCTTACCATATCTCCATCCTTCTTCCTCGTCATCATCGTCCATCATCCACAGTGAACCACTGAACCTAAGCACCTAACTAATCCAAAAACATAATACCATAAAATGCATTTCCTCTCACCCCCCTAATTTTATATAGTAGTGTGTTTAAGTCTTTATTGATTCACGTTATTTTAAGAAATTGAATTTATTATATTAGTATCTAAAAATATTTTGAAATATTTAAAATTATAAGGTGGGTATTTATGGTTAATAAAGCTAATTAGTGTTAAGGAGCTAGATAACAAAGAACATTCTAGGGATCAAAATCAAATCTGGAGGTTAAAAAACGAAAGTAATCTGTTGTTCGTAAAATAATAATAATAATCATGATAATAATAGCACAATACGATATGGGTTTGGTTGACGGTGGTTTGAGTGGGTGGAAGAGTTAGTGGTCACCCCCACACTCCCATTAATGTTTTAACGTTTACCCACCGGCAACGGTGGATGGACGGCGCGGTTGACGGCGTAAGCAAGGCCTCTTTCTTTCTTTCTTATGCTTGTTGGCTTCTTATTGGCTTGGCCCCAGCTACACGCTTCTAAGCTCTATTGGATATTTTGCAAAATAAAAATTAATTCTTGTTAGTTTTTATCACGAGATTAACTTATTTTGAATAAAATAACAAAAACTTGGAGAAAAATCCCATTGAAAAATTTTATTAGTAAGAAAGACTTAAATGAAACTATCGCAATGTAAAAAATTTGCATAATACTACCTTTAGTCCTAATTATAAGACTTTATTTATGATTTACAAATGAAGTATTATAATTAGAACCGAAGATAATACTTATACCTTTTTATATAAAAAATTATCAGATGCCCAATAAAAATTTTAACAGTGAAATTTTTTCCAATTCTCCCTTAAAATAGTCATAACAAAAATAAATAAAATTAAAATGGAAAAGAAAAACTTAGAAATTAATTTAAAAATAAGTGGGCATCTTCCTTTAACCTCTGGTTTTGAGCGGTCGCGGTGGCGGAGGGGAGAGAAAGAGGGGTGCGTTTATGGGGCTTAGTTAAGAGAAAGCGAAGGTGAGGGGACAAGAAGAGGTGGCGGTGGCGGTGGTATCGGGTTGGTGGGGCTTTTGTACTATTTATTGGCAAGAAAGAGACGCGATAGGATGAGGATTAGGCTATAACGTGGCAAGCATTGATTGGTTAGGTAGAGGCACCATGCTTCCCAAATTGTCACTCCCGTGCTGCCTCCCTGTCTTTTTCTTTTTGGTAGAAAATATTCATGAACATGGGCTGGGTCGAGGCCCAATACTCTTTTTTTTTTTAACTATGATTTTCTGAAACTTGACCCAGCTTTGAAAACACTAGCAATAAGGGTAATATACAACGTTGATGAATATAAAATATTATGGTCCAGCACTAATACATTGACCACATTTTTATTTTTTATTGAGTAATACAATTTCCAGGAAGGTCACAACACCAAAAGGCTGATTTATTCCAATCTAATTAACCCATCGCTTGATTTATTCTAATTTCCTCGAACAGGATTAGTAAAAAAATACTTGTACTTAACGTGGGGGGAAAAAAAAAGGGAATGTTTAGGTGCTGCCATTTGCCCGAAGACGATCCTTTCTTTCTTTGACCAGAATCTCCGCCAACCTTCACAGAAGCAAACATTAAACATAAGCTTTGGTTTCTCATGAAAATTTAAACTCCACAGGATTTGATTTTTGTTATATCCGAAGTCTATTTCATATTTGAAAGAAAATAACAACACATGCAAGTGTTATCTAGTAGAGTACTACTTCCGGTTCTTAATCTAAAATCTTGTTTGACTTTTATTTTGATCTTAAATATAAGATCTCAATATAATTTGCCTTTCATATTTATCTTCTTTTTTTTTTTCAAGATAGTTCTTTTAATAATGGTAGTTCTAACTAATAAACTTGATTAGCAAGGATATTTTAGGAAAGACAACACTTATTTATTATAAATAACTAACTTAACTTATTTTCTTAATCTACTCAAATTAGTAAATTAGCTCATATATTTAGGACCGGAGGTAGTATAATTTAAGCTTCTTGGACCATATAATTTGATAACAAGCATTACTCGTATACCTGCTCAGAGCATCAGCATTTGTAGTCCCTCCGAGCACCGGCTCGAATTCGAAAGTGTGAGGGTTCATCCTTTTAACAGGTTTGTTTAAGAGCTCCTTTGCAAAATTTTGAAGATTTTTCAAATTTTCCTTTGATGAATTATCCATTTTGACCTCTCTCTTCTGTTTGATTATATTTGAAACAGTATCCATAGGGGTAATTTAGAAAAAATTAATAAATATAAAAAATAAAGCTTATATTTAGGACCAAAACCATCTCAATAATTAGATCTTATATTAAGAACCAGTGGAGTACTTTATTAAATTTGTTATATGAATATATAATTTTACCCTAATTTATTGTTTTGTGGACTTTATTTTCTTAGACTTCTCATCAAAGTAAGTATATATATATATATATATATTAAATAGGAGTAAATTTAAAAAGTTATTAAATTTTAAGAGAAAGTTGATGAAATATTTTCATGAAAGTGATGAAACATGTTGGGAGTATTACCTAACTTCCTTAATATAATCAAATTAATTAAATAGTTCTTATATTAAGGATCGGAGAAGTAGTTTAGATTAAAAAAAAAACTATGCATCCCTCTCTACCCTATTGACTAGAAAAGTACTTTGAACAATATCTTATGTTAAGGGCAAAGTCTTAAAATAAAGAAGGGGGGATCCAAGACAAGATAGACCTTACAGGTTGAGAAGATAGTAGGAGCAATTCGTTTCATGTCGAAAGTAGGGATAACAACGTTAGTCAAAGTGTCATGAAGTGTTGTTCCTCCCAAGTTTTCCTCCAAAATTTTACGTAAATGAGTTACATTATAATTTGGGAGAACCAAACTCTTACGCTTCATCTGAGGAACCTCTAGAATAATCTTCCTGGTTCACCCGTTGATACCTCTTCTTCTCGAACTAGGGTTTTCTTCATTCGGGGTCGATCCCAGATTCCACGAAACATATCTTCCCTTTGTAAATAAAATAAATAAATTTCAGTCATAAATACGAGAATAACGGTTTATTCATTTTTATAAATAAATTCAGTTGGCTTGAGTGACAAAGAACTTAAACAGTCTTCAAGTATTCTTCTGTTCGAATCTCATGAATAATAACTTTTTTATAAAAAAAAAAGAAACTATGTTTAGAGAGCTTCAATTTACTTGTACGACCTGACCCAAATCAAATCCGAACTAGTTAATAGCACCAAAGATTATTTGTTACTGGGGAAAACAAAATAAAAGAACTCATGATGTACCATCTTTTCAATAATCCTTGGGGGAAAATCTCAAGAGATTTGGTTTTGTAAAAATCAACGATTTGAGAAGCAGTGAACCAAGGACGACTTTTGTGATTTGGATGAGGAGCTGTTAGCATTGTGGTAATGAGTACTCCTGTGCTTGTTCCTGCAATCACATCAAAGTAATCTGCGATCCTTGCATTTTGTCATGTTTCTAAAATTCACCAAATTGAGATCAGACACCAAAATAAATAAATAAGGTTTAAGATGCAAATTGATTTTTGAAAATTTTTACTCAAAAGTGCTGGTACCTGGAAAGTTTTTTGGATACAAATTTACCCCTAAAGTTTAAAATCATATGAAGTTCATCTCATACGATTAAAAAAATTAATGTTGATAATTAAAATAGTAACATTGACCGTTGATATTTTAAATGATAATGGATAAAATTGTTACGATTTTAAAATATGTAAAAAGAAAGAGATGAAATAGGAAAAAAATATAATTTATTTTCCTCAAACACTCTTATTTATAGAGAGAGTGAGTGGGAAAGAGAATGAGTGAAAAAAAGATGTGAGAGAAACATATAATTAATTAGAGATAAAAATGTGAAAAATGCATTACATGATCCAATAAAATGAAGCTTATAAAAAAAAATAACACCCGTTCAAATGTTTGATGCTTATATTTTGAGCCAGAATATGATAGAAGCAAATTTTTAAAATATAAAAAAAATGATCACATGAAAAAATAATAAAAATGAAGGAACCCGAAGCTCGGTCTCTAGAAATTGAAGGACGGCAGGGATGAGGCCTCGAACACCACCTCCATCAATACTCAGAACAGTCACAAATTTTGCAGAGGAAGGAGAATGAGGAGGGGCTTTTGTGGGAACGAGGAGACGCTTGGCGAGTCCATTAATATTAATGACCTATTGATATCACAGAGCTCAGCTCAGAACAATAAATGAGAAATGAAAGAAATATTAAAGCTTGATGAGTAACTTGGCAATCCTTTCCAAGCTATTTATAGATATTATGGACACCATGCAAAGTTCATTGCAAGACAAGTTTGAGAATATGACGTGTCTATATATGATGTTGATTCTTCATAGTATGTTTTCACATTATTTGTAACCACAGTATGCTCCGTGATACACGAGTACACGTGGATCCAAAATATGTGTGTCTATATGTACATAAAAGCCATTGGTTGCCTCGAAAAATTCTTTTAAAATCATTTTCAAAGGATAAGAAAAATTAACTATGAATATATAGAAAAATAAGGCAAACTGAAATATGAGGTGTGTGTATATAATGTTGAATTTTTATTAGTACCATACTATCTCATGTTGTTAATGTAAGAATTAACTCGTAGGTAAATTTAATCTTAAATATAAAACTTTAATCTACTATAGTCTCATTTGGCATGAAGCATTGAAAATAAAAGATAGGGATTGTGATTGCAATTGAAAAAAATCATTAAAATAGTATTTAGCATAAGTAATTACTTGTTATATGGGATTAGGCAAACTCATAGAGGTGGGATTGAGGAATATCATTTCTCCCCATAGTAGTATCTAATCCCACATATATGGTTTTAGCTAATCGCATATAACAAGCAATCTCTTATACTAAATACTCTTTTAATATATTTTCTCAATTCTTATCCTTAATTTTCAATGCTTCCTACCAAGCGGGACCTATGTCTCCCAATTTTATAGTTTCTACTCA